TTTCAAAATACCTCTGTGATGAAAATAAATTAAAACAAAACCTTATTTTTCAGTGGCGTAGATATAGCTAAGAACACCCCACAGAAGGCGGTCTGGGTTCCTCGGTATGGGGGTGGGTGGCCTCTCGTGCCCCAACTAATGTTCTTGCAGGCTGAGCCTCGTGTACTGGGTACGTGGCTGATGGGATTCAGACGCAGGAGTAAATGGGTGTGTGAATCTCACTGGAGATCTATTTTCACAGCCTCCCAAGTTTACCTCTCAACGGATGCTCCTTATCAGAGTCTGCTATTACTTGCTGCCCTCAATGATCTCCCGGAGAAGCGCAGCGCTAATGCGGGGAGAGGTCTGAGACCAGCCGCTGGGCTGTTTTTAAACCTCAGCAGGCCACTTCTGTGATACCCATTTTAATGAACTGTCCTCACCTCACATTTAATTTACAAGTTATGTAAAGCTTCCACAGAAAGCATTCTCATCGTCACCTTGCTGAGACAGACTGGTAATTTTCCTTCTAAAGCCCCCAAATTCGTTCCCCAGGAGCATCAGGCAGCCATCTTCAGGCAATGAGAAAATGGAAAACGCACAATCCTTCACTGTCTGAAGTGTGTTTAGTTTCAAAAAGAAAAATAAAAAGCATCTGAGAGTCCTGATTCTACTTTATCTTTAAAATAACTGCATATGGTATAAAGGCAAGCACAAAAAAGGTACAAAAGTGGTCAGAGTAGCTGGGATCAGTTAAGAGTTATTTCACCAGAGCCCTGCTCACTGTTCCTTTCTGCCATTTTTGCAATTGAAACAGTCTTAGCGATTTAGGTCCTCAAAGCAGGCTTCTTAGAGACTGATTTCGTTCCAAACGAGAGGTTCTAAAAAGTTCCCCAATTTAGCCTCCTGAAGGCTTCGTTTCCTCATGTGCAAAACAGAGCCCTCATCCCCTGGGTCATGGTTGCCATGAGAATTAAGTTCAACGAGCAAATGCACTGGAAATGCTCTGCACAGAGTGAAGAGAGCGTTATAGCAGCAACTTTCTCTAAAAGATCCCTATCAAAGCAGCTCTGTCTGAGGAAGGTTTAAAGAAAAATGCCTTCTCCAAATCCAACCAGGCCAGGGAAGGTCTGCAGAGCCCACACCCCACGGGGCACGTGCGGGCTCTGGGCTGCCCTTTTTGTAGAGCCATCCAGGCCTTATCAGACCCGGGTGCCAGGAAGTGGAGTCATCCTTCTGCTGTCTCTTCAGGGGACTTTCTAGATACAACTCCACCTCTGCTGATCTCTGAAAGCACTCACTTTCAGCAACAGCAAACATGGCCCAAGTTTAACTGAGATAGGACTCCTCAGAGTGGTAACTTCCAACTGATTCCACAGTTTTCCTCCTCCTCGAGCCAGATGGGCTCAACAGGAAGGGGCAGGGGAGGCCGCTCCAGACCGAATGCCCCCAGCAAGACACCCTTCAGTGAACTGCCACCGCCAGCAGGGGGAAGCAGCGGCCTCCTGAGAAAGTCTCAGAGATTAAATGTCATTCAAGTGTTCAAGGTGACTTTGAAGCCCAAGTCCCATCTCGCTCCTTTTTTCTTTTAAACCAAGAATTTCACAAACAAACCATAACCAGAAACTTGTAAATGGGCCAATTCTTTAGAGAAGGAACTGAAAATGACAAATGGCATTGTATTTTGGCATGGATTCTGAGTTTGCAAATATAAAGATTTGTGTGTGCAAAAAATATAGGCACCATTTGAAAAATGTTAAGCTACTTACATATGGTACATATGCTATACACACACACACACACACACAGCTTGTTTTCAAATTAATTTGAAAGGCTATTTAGCTCTGAGCTATCACTGCATTCAGTTATATCTGACTCAACACAGCCTGCACGTCCGGCACTGATATCTTTCGATAGCAATTCTGTTCCTGGGATTTGTTTGAAAGCGTTTAGGTTTTCACGGATCACTGGAGGTTCTTCATTTTTCCCCTTCTGTATTATGTAGGTATAAGCCGTCTCTCTGGGCATAAACTGCCCACTGGTAAAATCAATTTTGATTTTATCAGTATTTATTACTGCTGGTGCCAGCAGTTTAGGCTAGAGAGGGAAAACATGCAAACTAGGAGAAGAAAAAAAAATTAAAGCTGGGTCCTCACACCTACAAATAATACCGCTGTCTTTAAGAGGTATCTTGTGCCAAGGGAACTTCAATTATCAATTTAAAAATTCAATCAATAAAAACGTACTGGACTCTCTCATTGCTCACACGTCCTAGGTATTTGCGAGCTCGGTGGTGGACACTTCTACAACAAGGGCACGGCCCTCGGAGGCGCTGCAGACCAGTTACCAAGGCCGCAGGCACGAAGGCAGCCTGACAGCGGCCACGCAGGCACACTCCTGGCTGGCACCCTCGCCAGCTTAAGCTCCACTCCTTCTGTGCCAGTTTATTCCGATTATTTGACTCTCATCCTCTAGGGCAGAACAGACCGCGTGGCAGGACCACACACTCACCTCTTTGCCTTACTCTGCCATTCCAGAAAAAAACACCCAAAATGTGCATGCTTCTCCACGTCAAGATCTTGAGAGTCTGTGGCTCTTCAAACGGTCCCTGAACCTTAGCAGCGCTTGCTCCACACACGCTCTCTTCTCCCGACACATTCTTCACTGACGAGGATGACATGTAATATCCCATCTTCCCACCATTACCCGCCTTCTCTCCCTGGGGAGTTCCCTTCTTCCACTCAGTCAACAAGCCCCACAAACTAATGTGTTCACCAAGTCCTAACCTCTAAAAGGGACCGAGATTTCATAGGATGATTAGTTAGAAAGAAAAGACAACTTTGGATTTTAAATTTTGATTTCTGGCTACAAACAAAATGCCCACATCCTCTGAGAAGCTGTGTACTTTCTCCTAGATGTATACAGACCACTAAATCCCTTTCAGAGACCTAAGCAGAGTAGGCATCCCAAGCACTCTTTTTAAGAACTTAGTCACTCTAGTGTAGGCGCCAGAAAACTCCAGCCTCACAGGCCAAATCTCGCCAGCTGTTTCTGTGACTCAAGTTTTACTGGAACACACAGCCACGTCCTGTAAGAAAAAGCTTGCAGAGCCCTGCTCTGGTAGACTGTCTGAGGCCTCCTAATCACTCTCCTCAGTACCATGAGGCATGGGAAGCTATATAAACATTAATTTGCTGCAGCTCCTACACTTAGACAAATTTTATAGTCCATTTACAGAAAATAAATGGCAGAAGGCATAAGCCTCACAGCTCAGACTTCTCACTCCCTTTCATAGTACCTGGATCCACATGTAAAAGACACTGGGGAGTAATTTTTAATTGGGCAGGCTTCTACGTCTGCATGCTCAATGCAGTTTGAGCAATAGGTATGTGGCTGAGAACGAGGTCTGTTCAACATTCACTGCGAGTACTTGGGATGTATAGCAAACCTCTTTTCATGAAGATGGAAAGTTACTTACTTAGACCATCAGAGACTTCCACCTCCCAATCTGGTCCCTGACCAGATCACCAGAGCCAGAACCTAAGGCCACTCTGCCCCAGCCAGGCTCAGAGGAATGTGACTTGGGTGTATAACTTCTAAGAACTGTCTTCCTTCTGATGAATCTGTCTTTTAAAACCCACCCTCACACGGGAGCCACACCAGGCATACCTCTCACTCGTCTTTTCTGCATGGCTCCTCGACCCAGAAGAGAGATTTCTTTTAATTGAAGGGCAACACAATGGGAGGGCAAGGGAGACCAGCTGCTTACGATTTTCAGCAGTTTTATTTTTATACTCTCAGTTGAAGCCAACCAAATATAAATATATGTAATTAAATCATTAAATATATATATTTCTCATTGATAGGGCTCATTTTTAAATCAACCTTCTAATGACAAAATAATAATGTTGATAAAAATAATAACTCCCCCCATATAGCAAATGTGACAAAATGACAAAAGAACTCTTAATTTGGGGGCTTTATTTTAATTTTTTTTTCTTTTTAAGATGCTACATAGTCAAACAGAATTGGATTGGTCTTTTACGGCATAAAATTAGTTCACAAACTCTCAATTACTACTTGATGGATTATATGAAGAGTCTCTCTCACACCCCCATGCCCACCCCCACCCCACCCAGCTGGTTCCCTCTCTCCTGACCCACTCGCCCTGATCCCAAGCCAGGGCCACACGAGAACGGTCAGGACCACACTTGGGGCACGTGTGCTGGAAGTATGAATGGTGGCTGGGGGCCGTGAAAGAACAAGATAGAAGATCAGCTACGCTTCTCTGGAGATTCAAGAGGGTAATACAGAGTTGACTGTTGCTACTAAGAATTTCCCTTTCTGTGACAGTTGTTATTTATTTACACAGAAAACACTTCCTGGCAGCTGTTCCTCAACAGTCAAATAAAGCACTCCTCTGCATGGACGTAGAGCCCAGAACCGCATGGACAGAGGGGCCCACAAACCTCCAGCAGCAATGCCAGCTTCACCCACTGGCGTTAGGTAGCACAGGTGAGTTTCAGGCCACAGCATTAATTATAACCTTGTGACAATAAGAAAACATGAGATGAAATACCTTAAATAAGTTAAATATGCATTAAACATCTCTAATAACAATTCAATCTTACTACATGAACCAAAGTAATTGAGCTTGGTCCCTTAAAGAGAACAAAGCACTTTTATTTCCAAAACGTTGGGTCAATCAGTCGACATTCGCCTCCCGCTCTTGACAAGCAGATCTGATGTTGCCACAGCACAATTCTTTTCAGCTTCTGACTCTGTTCACCAGTCCTAAGGAACTGATGCCCGGGGCAGAAGGGGGAAAAGCAGCCGGGGAGTGAGCGAGCAGCCTGGGGTTACCATGCGGAGGTGACGGCACTCCCCGCCGCACTGGGCTCCAGCTCCCCAAGGGCCAGCACCAACAGGCAAGGAAGAGCGTCTTGTTTTTAGAGAGGTAATCCAGCAACATGTACCAAGGCTACAAATGGTTAAAATGACATTTACAACATGCCATTGTCATTTAATCATGGTTTCCCTTGTCATTAATAAGGATCATTCTTTTCCCCCAATCATTTAGTATACATTTTTAACTTTCTAAAAGATTGTTACATGTTATATTTGTGTGTGTGTGTGCGTACACGCACAGGGAGGGATAATTTAAAGGCAAGACCTGTGAGATGTCGTCATACATTAATTTCTTTTTACACATGGTTACGATAAATTTAAATCCCATGATTATGGCGGATCCATCAATCCCATTTACCATCCTTCGCATGCTGCCTCTACAAGGTGATCTTCCCTATGATTACACCAACGATAAAGAACAAAACCACCAGCGCAAGTAGCCGGGTGCTGAGGCCCTCCTCCTTCTCAGCCGTGGCTAATGCGGGAACAGGGCTGTTGCTCTGCACAGTCTTCCTCATCCGAAGTTCATCTTCTTCCTACGGGAGGCAAATGCACATTTCAAAAGCAATCCAAGGAGAAATCAACTTAGCAGAGTGGGCTATTAATGATATGGTCCAATCTCCTCATTTTGCAAATGGAGAAACTGAAGAAGAAGGGACTGGCTTGAAGTCACTGAGAAAATACTGTCAGAAGCCCCTCTTTTCTTCCATCCACCATACATGATGCTGCTAGGTCCCTTTTTATACCACACATCTAAGCAGGGCACTCCTTGGTTCCCCATAATTATTGAAAAAAATCTCTTCATAGGGTCAGCCAGGCCCTTTGCCCCGGGGCCCCAACCACCTTTCCAGCAATGTCCTCCAGCTGCTCCTCTTCTCCTACATCTAACCCAAATCCCGCTGTCCTTCCTTCCTCTACTGAACAGGCTCCCCTAATCGAATCACTGATGTTTGAAATGATAGGCATTTCCCAAGACACAAATATAAAAATCACAAGAAACTACCAAGTGGGGGACCTAGAAGCCTTCAAGTGTAGAGAACTGTACACAGTCAGTACTTGATGAGTTACATGCAGACTGCTGAATCGAAAATGTGAAATCTAAGATATTAAAATGGGACTGAACTTGGTAGACAGATCTCAAAAATTTTCTACTTAATGCATGGAATTCCCATCAAAGAAGCAACATTCTTTTTCATATATATAAAGATACCTGTCCATGTTTTTCCTCCAACTACACAGATGTGTAGGGAATATAAACTTCTTCTTCCTTTACTGCCCCGGAGGCCAGGCCTACATTCCTGAACAGGGCATGCATCAAGGTCTTTCTATTCTGGGCCAGATGCAGCTAGAGCTCTGGCTAATTACCCCATCTACTAGCCCCAAACCCCACACATCAGCTGCACTTTCTTCTTTTCCTCCAACTCCTTCACATTCACCAAGCACCTAGTAGGTCCTGGAGACAACAGGCAGCCGCCCATCAAGCTGACTCTCTCTGGCACTTGTGGCCATCTCCATGGGACCACTCATCACACCAGCTGTCAGTACTTGTGCCTGTGTCTCCCCTGCTACCCTGGTCAACAGGGAGCTCTTCAAGGCCAGGGACTGCTCGTATTTGTACCCATAGTGCCTGGTACAGAGTAGGGCCTCAGGAAATTTGTTGGCCAAATGAAAGAATGAAATAACACAAACAAGAAATCAGAGTTTGGCAGGATAAAGAATCTTCTAATGTCAAGATTGGTCTGACAATATTTTAAAGATATTCTGCTCATGGGGCATGGCCAATATCGCTGCACAGTGATAAATGACTGGTGCTATTCGATTAACTTCAAAAAAAATGGGCACAGCAAAATACAGCATTTATTTTATTGGGTTTATACAGAAGCTATTTCTAACTATTTATCACTTTAAACGGCACAGAACTGTTTCTGAAGAGAAATACACTCAAGGAGAAGCTTTAGGCATATCTTAGATTTTTTAGCCAAAAAATAAAAGTGTCAGCTTCATAATTTACTCCATACTAAAAGAAGTTACTGAATGAGGCAAATCAAGATTACTGTGAAGAAAGAAGATGATGCCATTTCCCACTGTCAGTTCTCCTATAGCTACTACATTGTCAGAATAAAGGAGAAGGAAAAGTCAACGGAAATGAATTTATTACGTGAACCTGGTGCTATGCTGGCCAGAGAGTGAAAACCTACTCTGCAAGGCTGGGTGGCATGATGAAGAGGAAAAGAATTAACTGGACTCAAAATTTAAGCTGTAACAAAAGCTCCTATGATCAGATGCTCAGAAATGTTCTCTTTAATACTATGTCTGAAACAGACATACTTGTAAAGCTGGAAAGGGCCTTGGAGGTGTTTTGCAAACAGAGACCCAGGAGACGCTGTGACCAACATAGGTTCAGTGCTAGTTCAAGTGTGACTGGTCGTTTCCACAATACCACAGACCTCCAAGGCCCAAAGAAGTGCACCCTGCCTCCCTTCACCACCCAGGGCAACCTGACCCTCCAAAGTCAATGCCAACCACCTCATCAACGTCCACAAGCTGGGCACTCGGGTTTCTCCTTCTATCATCTCCCCCTATCCACGGTGACAATCTCCATCTTCAATCTCATCACCGTGTTAAGAGTTTGATGAGACCCTACTGCTGAAACCTATTTAGAACATTCAAAAATCAGGATTATGCCTGTGTTAAAACAGAGTACAGGTCAGGATTTACCAACTTGTAAAAACAGATTCTCATCCAATGGGGATGGAGTGGGGTTTAAAAATGTGAATTCAAGATAACCATTGCTGGGCCGGCCCCGTGGCTTAGTGGTTAAGTGCGCATGCTCCGCTGCTGGCGGCCCAGGTTCGGATCCCGGGCGCACACCGACGCACCGCTTCTCCGGCCATGCTGAGGCTGTGTCCCACATACAGCAACTAGAAGGATGTGCAGCTATGACATACAACTATCTACTGGGGCTTTGGGGGAAAATAAATAAATAAACAAAATCTTAAAAAAAAAAAAAAAGATAACCATTGCTTTTTCATTTTTAGTCTCAGAATTTATTTTCAATTTATACTAATGGAGGATGGGAGGTTTTGCTTTTTTGTTTTTAACAAGGGGACAAGAGTTTAAATAGTTGAGAAACTTCTGTTCAAGGGACACTGGTTCTTAATTTGGGGTGGGGGAGGGGTTCAAGGACCCTTTTGAGATACCTGATGAAAGCTATGGAAATTTCTCCTTGGGCGAAAAATGTGCAAATACAAAACTCCACAAATTCAGGGGTTCATCAACCACCGCACCTAAGATCACAGTGGAAAGCCCCTGTTCCCTGTAGACTATCGGGAATAAAACACGTTACCTTGAAGTGCTTGTTCTCCTCCCGCAGCCTCTGAACTTCGCCCTGCAGCCTCTGACACTCTTCCATCACCTTCTTAACTGCGGTGTCATCCAAAGAACTCAGAGCTTTAGACACCGCTGGTGCTTCTGTCTTTGATGCAGTTGTGGATATAATTTTATTTATTTCTACGTCATGCTGTTCAGAAATAAATGAAAGCCCAAGTGTCACCAACTATGTAATAAAGGACTTTTTTATGCAAAGTAGTTCTCAGCAAACACCACACGTGGTAGCGTTTCATCCACACTGTAAAATGTCACATTTATTTTAAAAATAGATCACTTTATCTAGTATCTTAATAATCTAAAGCAACTGGGCCCCAGAAATCATGGATAAGGGCAAATAATGAAGTTCGGCTGAGACTAATACTTCAAAGAGAGAGAAAAGGGCTGTGCATATTGCACTATCAAATCCCTGCCACGCAAAAATTAGTATACTGTAATTGAGCAAGCTCAGAAGTTATTACCACAAATTACTGTCACCATGAAGATCTGAACCTCCCCAGGACTGGCTGGGTGGGGGTGGGAGGCCAGGGAGAACGTTACACAGAGGCCAATTTGTTTCATGAACTCAGAACTCCGGAGCTGGGATGCAAGTGAAACAAGCTCCGCGTCTGTCTGCAATATTTCAACCTGGGGAAGCTACACAGCCCCCCATTTCCCCTGCCAAGACTGTGCGGTGACACCCTCTTGAGATTGACTGGGGATGAGTCAGAAAGTGGGGGGAGGGTAAAGAAGCACTCAGGTATGTTGGGGAAAATAAAATAACTGGGGGTCGCTGCCCTGGGGGTCCTCACAGCAAAGCAAAAGCTCTGCCCTTCATCTGCCAGGAGAGAAGAGTGAGGCCCTGAAAGGCAAGGCCCCAGTCTACAGAGCTAACACATCACAGAGCTGGGACCAGAACACAGATCTCACAACTTCTGGGACTGACCTTCCCAAGACACCATGTGCAATGGGAAGAGAGAAAAAAGACCACTCCCCACTCAAAGAAATAAGATAATGACAATGGTCAATTATTGAGCAGAAAGAAAATACTAAGTAGTTTTGACACAAATCAACAGCATTCCTGGAGATCATTATGGATAATGTTAACAAGAATGTGAGCATTTCTATTTCCCAACTCCAGCTATTAACAGCCAGGGTAGTTTAATATTCTGCATGTGTTTGAAATTGTGCTTTTAATACAATTTAAGTTTTTCTGGCTAGGTTGAAGGGAGATCCAAATTAGCATTTCAGATACAGACTTCTCTCAACTGTTCACCAGCGAGGGCGGCTGTGACAGGCTTATTCCCTGGTTTAACACAAAAAGAAAAGTGAGCTGACAGCCTGGAGGAAGCCAGTCCTCCTCACCCCCTCAGGCAGCACACAGGGTGATTCTCAACGGGAGGCAAGATTTGGTTGTCACAACTAGGGGTGCTACTATGGAACAGGTAGAAGTCAGGGTGCTGCTAAACATCTGACAAGGCACAGGGGAGCCCACACAGCGAAGAATTATCCAGCCCAAATGTTAACAGTGCTGAGGTCGAGAAATCCTAATCTAAAAGCAGGTTTTGACTGAAGAGGCAGGTGGGGTTAAGGGGGTAGAGAGGAGGTGCTGAGGGAAAAGAGGAGACAAGGAAACCTCACAGGCAGTACTCTATAAAACAACAGAATCTAAGAGCTTACCACCTGTCCATCAAGCACCAGGATAAATGGCAAATTATTCCGTTTTAGTTTCACCCACTGTTTAATAGCAACTATAACTTTGCCAAGTCAAAGAAGCTCTTTGGGATTTATGACATTTCAACAACCAAGAGGTTGCACTTTTCAAGGGGAAAAATTGTTTCAGTTAGTTGTCTTTCTGCAAGTCTTTCAAAGGCCAACTTCATGAAAGTTCACTTATTTGCTGACTTGAGCTTATTTTGTTCTTCATACATCAGAAGAAGGAAAATAATTTGCCAACTTAAATCTTGGTTTTGCAGGAGATGGTATGCAAATAAGTATCAGCTTGCAACATTCAATTATTGTTAACTATAAACATACTTACTGGTTTATCATTTTCTGCTGGCAATTCAAACACACATCTAAGTTTTGAATCCATAAGGTCTTCCGGTTTTGCCTCCTTCCACTAAAACAATTTAAATTTAATAATCAGGATATTACAAAGCTGCTGGAAGAATAATTTTCTTCCTATAACTGACAATTTCAGAAAAATACTCTTAATGAGAAAGCCCTGATGTATATCAAATAAAGAACTTAAGTCTGCTGAGATTTCAATATTTTTAACATGACAAAATTAAATACACCGGCTTTCCTGACTATTTCTCACACTTCACAGGTCCCGGTCTTGCTGCCTGACTCCTCAAAGTCAACCAGTGCTCCTCGTGTTGCTAGTCTGTGGGAAGCACACGGAACAGAGAAAACCACTGCTCAACAAAGAGGAATTTCCAATCACATCTGAACGGTCAGAGGTAACTGGCTCTCTCCTTTTATTTAAGAAAATAAAACTTACTTCACAGGGCACATCCTTCTTAAAGTAAGCTCGTACTATCTGGGAGTGGTTTTAGAACCACGCTGCCATCTACCAACAGGGCACATTCACCAGCAAGCCGTTCTCTGTGACTGTAGCTGTCTGGGCTGACTCCCACTCCCTGCAGTCTGCTGGTGGGGACACCTTCCTGGCTAAATCCATATTCTGTGATGATGCACTCCTGGCTTACTCCTCCTCCTTTAGGCAGTAGAGGACAGGAATTCCAGAGCATTCTGAGAATTATGTAGACCAGCATAGCAGGAAGGTTATAATAAAGAAAAAGGAACAAACTCCCCCACTCTCACCCTAGGAGTATGCAGGAGGCAGCCAGAGCAACACAAGTACCAAGAGCCAAAAGTGGGAAACGATCTCCATGTCGAACAACAGGGGACTGACAAATAAATCACGGCAGATCCATTTAATGGAATAGCATGCCATTCAAATGATATGGAAGAGTATTTAATTACATGGGGAAAACGCACAGAATATTAAGTGAAGAAGCTGCAAACAATATTTTAAGTCTCTTTCTCTGTACCCATGCATGAGTGTATGTGTGCTTGCACACGTGTCAAAAGACCATCAGGCAAGGATCATCGCTGGACACTAAAGCCACCAGGTGAAAGAGTGCTGGCAAGCAGGATATTCACGTGGTCTCCAAGTATCCGACTACTGGAGTGTCACAGATGACCTAGTAACCACAAGGGGCAAATGTGCTTTGACACCAGAGAGAGTTGGCATTCACCATCTTAACCAAGTAATAAAACTTAGTGTCACCAAAAGAGGGACAGCCAGCGTTAAGTGCCTTCATATGATGCATACATGACATCACCTATGGAATACTGCTGCCAAAAAACACTTAACTTGAATTTAATCATGAGGAAATAACTGGACAAATCCCGAATGTGGGACATTCTACAAGTCAACAGGCTTGGACTCTAAAAAATTCAAAGTCATGAAAAACAAAAATGGTTGAGGGTGCTCTCCTAGAATGAGAACAACTATAGGCCATTTTTGGAACAACTGGACAACGCTGACTGTGGGTTTCTCTACTAGATGATATTATTGAATTAATGTTAACATTCTCAGCGGTGATGAAACACTGTGGCTCTGCAGGAGACCGTCCTTGCTCTGGAGCATTTAGGGGTGAAGTGTCACGAAGGCTGCATCTTACAGTCAAGTGGCTCAGCAAAAAGGAAAGTTTATGTTAGAAACGAAGCAAATGCGGCGAAACGTTAAATGGTGAATCTAGGTAGGGGTTTTATGAGGAGTCACTACTATTTTTTCAACATTCCATATATCAAAATGAAAAAAAAAATATTTTAAAACGAAGAAAAAGCACAAGGCTCTCAACAGCGGTTAAATCTAGTATAAACAAATTACAGGTCACTTTTAGTCTTTTTTATGGCTCATTTGTGTATTTGCAAAATTTCTTACAATGTACGCTTCATATAAAAATTTTTTTGTATGCTTCATATAAACATTTTTTAACTGTTATAAAAATTATCACACAAAGTAGTAAGATTCCCCTTTACTGTACACAGAGTGCCTGGCCTGTAAGAGCACTCAGATGAAAGAACGGCCGGACACTGTGCCAGGCGTTCTACACACAGCACATTTAATCCCACAACAACCGTGTGAACTAGGTTTTTATCTCCATTTCACAGGTGACCAAACCCTTAAGAGAGTTAAAGAAAACTGCCCAAGGCCGCAAGGTTAGGAAAAGGCAGCACTCAGCTTCACACCCAAGACGCCCCAGCCCATGCTCTTTTCACTAAGCCATGCAGCAAAAGCCAAACGGAACATACTCTTGGATATTCCATATTTTGTATTTGCCATATATTTCCTTGATCACATAAATTAAAACGTGAATTGACACACCACGTTCCAGGAAATAAAAGAGAAAGTAGTGAATTGTCTCAATAATCGTTCTTATGAAAACGAAGACAGCCTACTATCACTGATCTTTCTCAAACCCCAAAACATCTGGCTTACCCTTCATTTCCTGCCCAAAAGTTAAACACCCATGAAGATGGTCAGTTATGCTTTTCTAAGACTAAAAGGAAGGGCTGTGTGGTGACACTGGGACATGAAGGTAGGCTGGGCATGAAGAGCCCTTAGTATAAAACTTTGAAAGAGAGAAAACACAGGATAGTGAGTCATAGCTAACTCAAGTTTGCAGGCATTCCTCGGATGACTTCAGTCTCTTTGTTTGGGTTGGCAAGCTGGAAAGTGATGAAAATGCTGAGGCAATCCCGCCCTTCTTTTGCAAACTGTGAGGACCAGACGGTCTGTCCTCACCGGTGCTATGGTCTGTAGGGTTTATCTGTGTACTGTGATTCACACTCACAGCACCAGGAGGCCTGCTGATCCATTCAAATGTGTGAAAAGCTTACTTTGGGGAGAATTTCTATTATAATCTTTTTCCAGAAAAATCAATGATATAACATTACTTTTTTATTTTATGAAAATGAAGTCATCTTCTTTTTATCAAAATTAGAGACAGAGATAAACATTTATCTAAGCAGAAAAAAAAGAAAGAATCTATGGGACAAAAAAAAAAAAAAGAATCATGCTTACCAGCACCAAGCAAAAAAAACCAAAACCCTTACGGGCTGAAGGACATGTAGTAGTCAACACTCTCACATCCTTCTGGGTTCTGGGGGGGTAGGGGGGAGACATGGTAAGAAACATTCCTTATAATGAAAAGTTCCCTTTTCGGGGGGTGGGGGGGACAGGAGGAGGGATAAAGGGCGAGAATCCTCAAACCATTCAAGATACAATCCATCAGAATAAGGAACTGCTGAAGCAAATCGAGATATAAAAGTCAGAAAAGAATAGTATTCTGGAAAGTTACATAAAATGTTAAAATCAAAGTTTTAGAAAAACCATAAAGGTAGTCAAAGTACAAACGTCCCTGAAAACACCATTCCCCTTTAAAAACAATTCTGACACATTTTGAAATGCATGCACCCACAATTCTGTACCTAATCATTTTTTCTTAATTACTGAAAAAAGTAAGAAGCATTCAGTACTTACTACTGCTTCCATATCAGAAGTGTCAGGTGGAGCAAACATAGACTGAACCATAAACTTGTGTTTACTTTTCTCATTGGGATCATAATCGAAAGGCTGTAACATCACTGAGAAAGAAAATATTTCATTAGGAGGGTCAGAGCTTGGTTACCAGCAGCCATTTGTTATGTTAGTACTTGTCGTTTGGTTGTAAAGCAGTTTACCAGGATTCTCTCATCTGAGCCTTATGATGCTCCATGTGAAGTGAGCAGGGCGTCTTCTCCACTCTGCAGGTCTCAAACCTGAGGTCCAGAAAAGTCAGGGGACTTGCCCAAGGTCAAACAGCAGGTAGTGGCAGAGCTGGGACTAGGGCTTAGGACCCAGGTCTTCTGATTCCTAGCCCACTCTCGCACACGCACACCTGACACAAACCTCTGCCACAGGCCCTACAGAGGAATCTCATCTACAGGCTCCCTGGATGAGTCACACCCACCACAATGAGGGAGGTGCCTTCCCATCAGACTTAGGGTCCTCAGAACCCACCCCTGTTAAATGACAGCTACTATAAAATATGATATTTGCTACAAGGCTTTGACTAAAACACATATCTAGTTAAGTTCCCTGAAACATAACTTTTTCACACGCAGAAAAGTGTACTGTACCCTGACGATGACAAAACCTAACGTGAACTGAGCGTTTCCCATGAGCCAGAAGCTGGGCTCTGTCTTCCAGGTCTACCGTTATCTCATTTAATCCTTGAGAGGTAGATACTATTGTGGAGGTTATTTTGACCTCTATTTTCACATGAAAAAACCTGAAGCACAGAAAGGTTAATAAGTAACTTGTCCAAGGTCAGACCACAGAGGAGTGAGTACGCAAATGCAGGCGAACACCTGCCTGGAGAGCCAAGGCTCAGGGCCACCACGAGGGGCTGACTCCTCGCCCTCTGACATAGCGAGTTCTGTCCTTCTCCACTGGGCACTTATCAGTGCTCTCTTGCCTTTGAACCCCATCTTAGGGCTTCCCAGATGCTCCCTCTAAAGCCTCACAACCAACCACCCCGGCAGCAGATAAAGGGCACGTGGCCTAAGCCCTAGTTTACAAAAGAAGAATCTGGGGCTCAATAAAGTTAAGGGACTTGCTCAAGCTCACAATGTTAGGAAACAGCAAAACGTCAACAAACAGCCAAGCGCAGGCCAGTGCCCCCTTCTGCCACACTGGCCACTTCAATACAAGATGGGCTCACATCCCGCACCCCAGGCCCACCATCACATATCTTACAGAACCACACACGATGGGGAATAGAAATACAAATATCCCCCACCTGCCTTGGGGATGCAGGGATCCTTTCTATCTTGGGGACAGAGAAAGTCTATTAAAATCTAACACCACATCGGACTTAAATGCTTTGGTGTACGCAGGCTGACCCAGGCAGCTCTGCTGCCCACGTCACCCATCAGAGTGCTGCGAGCTACAGGCGACCTTACTGGAAGACTTCTTCAGGACAGAAAACAATAAATGTGCAAACATTTTTTAAATTCAGGGCTTCTATACACACGACACACCAAGTTTAGCTACCAATAAAGATTGCTAAAATAAGGATTTCAGTCTGAGTACTCAAAATCCAAAGTGTGACCATCAGCAGAGAGAACAAAAGGTTATTTAAAACAGAAGGCCACTCTACTTGGAATTTTATTCTTGCAGGTGTAAAAGCATGGTTCACTCCTGAAAAGGCAGTCCTTGCTGGCAGCTTTGGACCTGGAATGCAGATAACTCTTCCTCTGGCATCACTGAGCTGGCAAGACCTCTCTCGTGGACAGATCTGGAACATCATTACACACCTGGGCTTGACACTTAACCTCAGGGACAAATGACCAGACTACCAGTCAAACCATGGACTCTTCTGAAAGCTAACTTCCCGTCACATTTTTCCACCCCCAAGATCGTAGTCAGGAAGACACACATGATGGACAAAGGAGCTGATGTCTTCACGGCGCTGCGATCTATCTTGGACAGGGACTGTCAACCTGTTTTGGAGTTGGGTCACAGTCTTCACACTACTGTCAGATTAATGTTCATTTTTAAAAATTAAAGTGAACTTGGGGCCGGCCCGGTGGCGCAAGCAGTTAAGTGCACGCGCTCCGCTGTGGTGGCCCAGGGTTCGCCGGTTCAGATCCTGGCTGCGCACCGATGCACTGCTTGGCAAGCCATGCTGTGGCAGCGTCCCATATAAGGTAGAGGAAGATGGGCACGGATGTTAGCCCAGGGCCAGTCTTCCTCAGCAAAAAGAGGAGGATTGGCAGATGTTAGCACAGGGCTGATCTCCTCACAAAAAAAAAAAAAAAAAATTAAAGTGAACTGGGTTTTGAGAATTTTAGGTCTCGGCTGGCTGTGACAAAATCATGTTCTAGTGTTTTTTTAGTATGGGAAAGAAGGAAACTTTATCCCAGACTACACTTAAATTTTCAGCACGGCACAGCTCTAGTAGCAAAAACTGCCTCATCCTTGTGACTCTGTTTTCCCAGCTGTGACAGGCCCTGGTCCTCCACCATAGAGAGCTCTGAGGCTGAACCAGGATTATTTGTAAAGATCCCCGATGCCCAGAGCATGAGAGTAATCAGAAGACACCGCTGGTTTTCAGACAAATTGGCCCTTGAGCTCAAACTACACTGGATCCTACACAGAGAGCTGATGGTTCAGAGAACCTACGGCCCCACAGCAACAGCCCCGGACAATCTGTTGTTCCCTTTCCATTCCCCTCCCTTCCTCCAGGCAGTGCTAAGAGACCTCTACTTGGGTTTTAGGCAGCTTAAGGCAGAACTGACCCTTCCTTTTCATCTCTCTATCTCACCCCACCCTCCCCATCCCCAGTACCTTCACAATGTCCTAAGAAGGAAAGGAAAATAATCTTTACTGGCGCCTACTCTGTATTAGGCACCAGAGAAGGCACATTTTCATTATTTCTCCCATTTAGTCCTCACAACAATCCATCAAAGAAGCCCATGTCTTCATTTTCTAGATGAGAAGACTAGGGCTTAGAAAGGCTAGGTGGCCTCACTCAGGTCCCATGGCCAGCATATTAGATGATGGAGCCAGAGCTTGATACTGGCTTTGCTTCCAGAGTCAGACTTAAGACACCACAAGTTCTCAAAGTGTTATCCACAGACCCTAAGGGTCCCCCCAACAGGTGATCTATAAAGTCAAAACTGTGATCATGATAATACCAAGACGCCACATGCCCGTTCCCTTGTGCTGATACTCGCAGTGACGGCTGGCGCAAAAGCAGTGGTGGGTAAAACTGCTGACACCTTAGCGGCGGAACCCACAGTGCTTGTGTCTCTGTACTAGGCACCGCCACACACTCACAGTTTTATTTTGTTTTGTTTTTGGTGAGGAAGATTGTCCCTGAGCTAACATCTACTCACAGTTTCTTTTAAAAAGCTGATTTCACTTAAGAATATCCTTGATGAAGCAATAAAGATTATTAATATTACTAAATTCCAACCCTTGAGAACACATCTTAACATTCTGTACGATGAAACGGCATGTCCACATAAAGCACGTCTGCTGTTCCAGGAAAAGCACCTGTGCAACTGTCTGGGTTGTAAGCTCAACTGGACGTTTCTCATGGAACACTATTTACTTGAAAGAACAACCAACAGAAAAACTATGGTTATTCAGACATAGGTACACGGCAGATACTTTCTCAAAAATGAATGAAGTGAGCCTTCAAGGAAAACAACTTATAGTAGTTGTTGCCAATGATTTTAAAATCCAGGACTTCAAGCAAAAATTAGAATCTTGGAAAATTTATATCTGCCACTAAGAGTGTCACCGTTTCCCAAATACTTAAAGACTTTTCTGATGAGATCAGTAGGAATACTAATGAATGTGATTTTTCAATATTGCAAATGAAATACGTCAACATTTGGAAGATCTGTGTAACTCAGCTAACATAATATTACAAAATCCATTCAAAGCGCAAGGGAGACCAATGTATTTTAGTGAAACAAAAGTTCAAACAGTTCACGGACATGGTTTGAGATTCCACATTGCACTAAACTTTAAGACAGTGACACTTGTCAAGTTTTGGTGTAGTATCAAAAAGTAATGTCCAGGGGCCAGCCCCGTGGCTTAGCGGTTAAGTGCGCACGCTCCACTCCTGGCGGCCCGGGTTTGGATCCCGGCAGCGAACCGATGCACCGCTTGTCTGGCCATGCTGAGGTGGCGTCCCACATACAGCAACTAGAGGGATGTGCAACTATGACATACAACTATCTACTGGGGCCTTGGGGAGAAAAAAGGAAAAAAAAAAAAAAACAGGAGGAGGATTGGCAATAGATGTTAGCTCAGGGCCAGCCTCCCTCAGCAAAAAGAGGAGGATTGACGTGGATGTTAGCTCAGGGCTGATCTTCCCACCAAAATAAATAAATAAACAAATAAATAAGTCCATAATAATCTGAAAAGGCCAATAAAAAACTCTTCCCTTTTCCAACTACGTATCTGTGGCAAAAGTGGTTTTCCTTCATATACATTCAGCAAAACAACACATTATAACAGATTGAATGCAAAAGCAGATATGGGAATTCAGCCTGTCTTCTATTAAACCAGACATTAAAGAGAGTTGCAAAACATGTCAAATAATGCCAGTCTTCTCATTGAATTTTTTTGAAAAGTTATTTTTCATAAAAAATGTTACTGCTAGCATGTAGTTGATATATTATTATTATTAATTGAATTAATACTTTAAAAACTTCTCAGTTTAATTTGTAATATGATAAATATTGATACAATCCACACACAAAAAGGTCATTGAGTCTTGAATTTTTAAGAGTGTAAAGGAGTCCTGAGACCAAAAGGCTTCTACACCAAGCTGCCTTACAGGCCCCTCCAGGAGGAAAATGATCTGCTTACATAATTCACGTGAAGGCACTGGTGGCTTTGTACAGCACCCCTCTTGGGAGAATGTGCAGTTTAAAAGAGAAAGCGGCTTCACACAAACCACAGGTGGAGAAAGAGGCCCACGGGCACGCGCACACGTCTCTTACAGGGGTGCCTGGGGCTTCCTGTGCTCCTCTCATCCAACCACCCTGCAACTGCTCGGTCCCCTTCTGCAGACGGGCGCTAA